ATTCGTTAGTAAAATGATTGGAAATGAACTTGATTAGCATTAACAGTATAGTATTACAAAGTGGAATTTTAGAAATTATTCTCAACCACAAATTAATATACATATAATTGCAATAATTCAATTTTTGCACTACTGAGAATGTCAAATTAATGACGTATTAATCCCATAATACCAAGCAATCAAAGATAAACCAGGATGATCCAAAGTTGGGATGGAATTAAAAACAATAATATTAATTGTCTGATTAAACTGCAATGAAATAATTTGTTCCGTTGTTTGATAAAGGGTATTGTACACTTGGAACAGAAATATAAATGAATCAGCCAGAACAGTCTAATAATAGCCAACTATTCTCCTTCACAGTGATTAGCTGCATTCTGTGGTGCGGGTTCTGCTACAGGTAGGACTGTCGGCGCTGCAGGGGACGTATGCGCAAAAGTAGATTCTGTGTATGCAATTGGAGGAGGTAGCGGTGCAGGGATACTGACTGTTACCGGTGGTGATAGAACCATTTCTGCTGGCGTGTCTTGTTGTTGAAGAAGTCAAGGTGGGAAGGGATTGAACACTTTCATTTGTGCTTGCAAGAACTCTTTTCGGTTGTACTTGTGAAAGTTCATTCGGAGGGCGACTGCTGCTCAGTTCTCATTCCCAACCAATGACAGCGGTGTTAGTATCTCAAATTTTGGAACGTATCATTGTAGACACATTGCTACGCTTTCCCTCGTCACAGGGGCTGACACTGTTCGACCTCGCCGGAGATTAGTGAGCGATGTTTTCCTGTCGTACACTGAAGGAATTGCTGTGTTAATATACTGATGCGTATTCACAAATACTAGTAGTACTGGTCGGTCATCCTCATCTCCAGTGTTCATATTCGTGTTTACTCGTGGGTTAGGCTGTAAATGTCTATGTCTATGCGGTTTTGAACCAATAGGTATAACGGTATTAAGTCTTCATACCCAGTTAATTAAAATCTGTGGAATACTTCGCGATGTCGACCCCATCTTGTTGTCATTCCTGTACGAGGATACAGATGGACCAGCGCTCTTGATACCTATGGCATGTTGTACCCAGGCGATGAAATCTGATTAATATGCACCTTTCTGTTTAACTTCCATTTTTTCTCCTAACCCCGCACATATAACACAAAGAAAAATGAAAAAATGTAAACTTCTTGTGTAAAACATGCAACGCAATGAAATATGAAACATTTAAAAAAAATAGTTGCAACAACATGGTTTGTGATAAATTCATTCATTACTAAAAATATATAAAAAGTCAATATGAACAGATTTTCATTACTATTTTAGCTAAGAACTTTGTAAAGAGAATGTGTACAATATTCATAATATAATGTATGTTTTAAAGTTGTGAGTGTGAGATATCGAATGTAATATATATATATATTGCGTAATTTCTTATTTATATGTACTTTTTGTATGCCAATACGCTCACAAGAGGGCGTTAATTAATGATGTAATCAAATAGAACTTAAGGAGCCTTTGTCCACTCTAAATGTGGGTGACGGATCAATTTCAATCAGTCGCCAATTTTCGTCGAGTCGTTACGAACACATTCCTAGTCACCAACACTTTTATCTTTCTACACAATATTTGCAAGAACTCTGCGTTCAGCAATTACATCGCGTTTGTTCAAGCCCGTGTTGTCATCCGTTGATGAGTCAAAAATTAAGCCACGTGTTGCATGCGTCGAAAGGGTTGACTTTATTCATACGAATACAATATTTAATTTTGGTAACAATCTGTCTTTGTGTCGTTTCATGTTTTTTTGTTCATATCTATGAAAAGAAAGGAGTGAAATCAATGGAAATAGTACATATTTTAACATAAATAATTTATTTCAACAATTGCAACACACGATGTGTCAAAAGTTACAATCGATTTACAAGTTGAATGAAAATGTTAGTTACTGAATGGCAAGCCACGGTCAACTGGACACGCGTGACGAATAACAAAATGGAAGCTTTGACAACATCGCCCTCTGTAGCCAATTATATTAATAACTTCGTTTGATATTAAAGTTTGTATTTGTGTAAACTCCTACTCAAGTTAGTCTTTTTCGTTTTCTTTCAAACCGTGCATGGATGAAGTATGGTGGCAGTAAGTGCCATCATTGTTACACTATTGTAAATATACGTATTGTTTATCATGGAAACAATCATAATAATATAGCAGCAAGCAGAGATTACCGGCTTTTGATGCAATGCCCATGTTAGCACAGAATTGCATTTATGCAACATAGTTATGACATTACACTTCTGTAATATCTAGTGTAATGGAGACATGTACTGTGATCAGTTTACTATATACTATAAAGGCAAATTGATCTAAGCACAGCATGGCAAACAGGTCACAATTTTGCTAACAGGTGGGGAAGGGTGCTGTTATGGTAACTTGGTGACAGTATGGTGAACTATGACCAGTTCACTATATTGGGACCAGTCTATTGTATACAGTATGTAACACGTACGGAGGGTGTGGCAGTGTGAGTCAAAAACGTTCAGATATCGAAAGATGAACCAACGGTGACATAGCGGTTATGCAGAAAACCCATGCGTAACCGTCGGATTATTGCATGATCCCCGATGAGAACAACATTATTTTTTCAGGATATATTCAGATATATAGCCATTTATAACTATTAGCTAGATCTAACAGCAGTTATATATATAGCCATTTATAACTATCAGCTAGATCTAACAGCAGTTAGATATATGTCCATTTATAAGTACCAGCTAGATCTAAGTTCAGATTCAAATAAGCATGAACCACTAATTTGACAGGAAAGTGATACTTATAATGCAGCAAGGTGTTTTAATTGCTGTTGTGGTAGAGTTTTTATATTTTCCTGTCAAATGCATTTATTGGTCCACTGAAAAATCAAAATAATGTTCCCTGTAACTTAGATTCTTATTGATCAAGGCATTTTTAAAATCATGGGTGTTAACTCCCCTCAAGTTATGACCCGTTGTCCCCTATGAAATAATGGTTGCATCTAATATTAAAATAAAGATGGCGGAGTATAGCGTTGATTCAACTCGTTCTACTCTGAATTACTTGGAGTCAATAAAGATCCTAGAAAGTTAGTATTTATATGCCTGTGTCTTTTTTTGTTTTTTGTTTTTTACTGTCTTTGACTTTTCCAGTATGTTTGTTGCTATTGACAACAATTCAGTCCTTTACAAGGCTTCTGTCCATGTTTTTCTTTACTACCTACCCAGCTCCTCGCCGGGGCGCTATGCAGCTGGTGTGGTATATTTATCACAGACAGTAGGGCAATTGTCACACTTAGTGCTTCAAGAAAATATTCTCTGTTCATGTGTATTTATATAAATAGATGCAGTTTCTTTGGCTTGAAAAAACATTCACTGGCTTCGTACATACAGGTATACTGGTTTACCTGTTTCTAGTTGAAATTTAGCCAATCTTATTATCCAGCAGGACAGTTGGACATTTGTCACATGTCACAACACTCATTTCCAAGTGCCACAGCTTGAAACAAGTAGTCAAATCTGATATTGACTGGAGCTTTTGTTTATATGGACATGGTAAATGGCAAACTAGATGGTCAGAAAATAATAAAAATAATCACAGGTTTACTCCACCCACCCCACTATGAAGTAAAAGGCCATATATGATGGTTTCATGTTTCTTATGTAAGACAAGTTGTGAAATGCGTTTTCCAGA